AATGCAAACCAAAGCCTTTAATAACATGGCCTAGAAAAACATGGAAAAATCTTATTTGTATTGATAGTTCTTTTACCTTAAAACTTGAATGAAAATTACAAATATTGATGTAAAGTATGTTTGTCTTTGATAAAGATTATATAAATACAAACTTCTTCAGGCTAGAAGTCAAATTTTGTCAATGTCCCCATTTCTAGACCAGGCACCATATGGCTATTTGCTACTACCCGAAATTCTTGGTACGCCCTAAACAAATGCCATATTTACTTGATTATCATCCTTACAAGGCTTGTCCTGCCCCAACAAAACGTTGTTCATTTTGAGGAGAAAACTGGGAATTTTCCCACGTTAGTAAGTAGATTGTTCCAGTTAGTAGACTATCTTGGTTGTCAGAATGACTCTGAAGTCCTGTTAAAAGTGGGAAAAGAGACATAAATGTCCCTATTTACACAAATACAAAATTCTTTTTTTTTCCTTTGAGGTAACATTGGTTTACAACACTGTGTATGATTGAGGGGAGTAGCTTCTCAAATGTACATTATCACTCCAAAATTCTTAATTATTGTTCAAGTCAGCATTAAAATTAACTTTGGTGTCAGCGGGAAGCAATTTACCTGCATAGCTCTTAGCCCTAATCTTATAAGTAAAATGACTCCTTACAAAGATTATTCTGGCAAATGTGAAGCTAAAAAGCTGCTTTAAAATTTCTACTTTCAAGTATTTTTAGCAAGTCCATTTACCTCAATATGGCATAAACATGCCTTTCAACTAATCTTACATTTATCCCCTTTGAAAGACTAAATTTTGTTGGTAAAATGCCTGTCTCCCAGTGAAGAAAGCTATTATTTCTTTTTATTGCTGTCAGAACTTTAAGGCAAAAATAGTGATATTTGAGGTCTATGTGGTTAAATTGGCACATACTAGGTACCCTAATACTAGGTATGCATACCATCTGACTCATCATCTGTCCTGGGAAGAAGCACAACTCTCGAGTAAGGGGAATCTGTCTGTAGGTTCTCTCTGTGTGATCATCTACATGGTTTATTGCATAGGCCCCAAGGAAAGGGTTCCCTATCGGGAGGAAGTCCCCAGGAAACTTTTATAAATTCTTCTAAGTTAATATATCCCTCAGAATCTTGAAGAGATTATTTTACATGGTGATCAGTGGCTTGGGAACTGTTCAGGGTCTGCCTATGTGATTGTAGAAAGGCAACGTAACTCTCTATACTCTGTTTCCTCATTTATAAAATGAGGATAATGATGGTACTCTCTTAAAGTTGTGAGAAGTAAATGACATAAAGCATGTAAAAATGCCACATCTTGGGCACATACCATTTAGACTACAGCTCTTATCACTACTTGATGGCATGTTTTAGGCTTCTTTGACTGACAGTGTCGAAATTGTGGAACACAAAAGTATTACTACCCTTTAGCAGACAGCTAGAGATGAACATTGCTTTGTATTAGACATTTATCATCTATTTATAGAATAGAATAATGAAAATTATCATGGATTAAGCTCAGATCGTCATACTTGAATTCTAGCCATGATTTTAAACTTTCATGTTTATTTTTAAAGGCTGACTGGAGAACTGTTTTGTAAGAACCAAAAAAGAAAAAGAAAAACTCCAATTCAATTATTATTATCAGTCTGAAACACATGGCTCCATGACAGGCAATACCAAAAGGAGTTTAATGGACAAGACCTTTGCCTTTAAACTTATGGGAAGAAAAAGAAAACTAAATGATCAACTGAATTAGATTTATATCAACCATTGTGAAAGGCGATGACATTAAAAGATAAAACATTCATTTTTTTATGATCTAAAAAGTATTGGCTCCAATTTTGTGGTCTTTAAAATTTGGAGAAACTTCCACTATAGGATACTATTTCTAAAGTTGACACTGTGTTTTACATATGTCATATCTCATTTAATCTTCATAACACTCTAAGGTAGATTTTAAAAAATAGGTTCTATTATTTATATATTTCTAATTTTATAGATGGTCATCCATATGCTTTCTGTAAATAAAAAAAAAAAAAAAAGATGGCAGGGGGAGGTTAGTCCAGATGTTCCCTCTCTACTTCTTTCCCTAAAACTCAAATTTTCTTCAAAAAAAAAAAAAATTGAAGGAACTTGAGTTGTCCTTTAATGTATGATACAATATTATATATTAGGATTTAAAAAAATATTTATTTATTTGTACAAGAACTGGGGTACAGGCCAGAGGCATAGGGTGGGGGGTAGTGAGAGGATTCACCAGAGACAGAGTAGGGAAGAGAACAGGCAGACTGACTGAAATACACTACTGAGGGGAGTAGTAGGTGAGACAAGAGAGGTCTGTTGCGCCATGTGGGTTAGCTCCCTGGCCAGGGATCAAAATTGTGCTGCTGTGGCTGCAGATAGCTGCATAGTGCTATTACTAAACCCCTTGTGCACCAGGGAAGCCCAATATATATTAGGATTTTATGATGTCATACATATATATATGTATACATACATTTATGTAAAGTGTATCTTTATGCTGTTTTCCAGTAAATATTATGTTTATATTTAAAGCAGAGGGAATGAACTTATGGGCCATAGCTCTAAAGTTGTGTTTAGACAATAATAAATTGAGGAAAAGAGAGTAATAAACAACATGTTTGATTTTTTATAAGTTGATGTTTGCCAAGCGAAAAAGACAAAAATATCAAGAAAAAAAAGGCAAAGCAAAAATAGGCTCCCTAGAGAGGGAATGGCCCAAGAATAGAGAAGCAGTAAAAAAGGAAGACATTTCCTAACATATTTTCTCTTCTTAAATTGCAGTGCAGTCTAGCTGTAGAAGTCTTCAATTTTGTTGATGGCAAATATGAAATAATTAATGACACAACATACTAACTTTCTCTTTATCACCTGATGCAGCAAAGTTCAAATTGCCCTTCAGTTGGAGGGTAGAACCTTGGCAATATCAAGTAATTTTTCTAATTCCAGTTTAGGGTTAGTAGCTTGTATCCATTTTTAAAGCATATCCAAGTTTTGAATCTAAGCACCACAAAGGCAATCCTACTTAAAACATGCTTCAGCATGAGTCACTAATTGCAACAATGTCAGGGAAAGTCTACATTGCAACAATGTCAGGGAAAGTCTACCCGATTTGCCTATAAAAATTGCCTATAGAAAACCACATACACCGACTTTACAGGAATTCTTTAATGCTGCCACTCTTAAAGCAACTGCTTGTTTAGGCATAATCAGATTAATTCTGGGGAACAGCAGGTCCAGGTGACCAAATTCAAATCTTAGCTTTTGCTGCTTACTTGTGATAACCCCCTCCCATCCATCTTTCTCAAGTGACTAACCCCCTCCCACCCATCTTTCTCAACTATAAAAGGGATACAACTACCTTCCTGGAAGTGGTGGGCAGCATGAATGTGGAGCAAAATGGTTCTCAAGGAACACTGGCTCTCAACTTCAGAGGTTCCCGTAATGTCATCTCCCAGAAGTCCTCTTCAGACTTTTTCATGTTACGTGATCATGGTGTGCTCCCTCCAGGTCCCGCTTTCTGGAGTCAGAGGGGCGTGAGGACACCTTGGCTGATGAATGAACAAACGCATACATGGCTGAGACTGCCCACTTCTTCAGCAGCAACAACCCCTGAGTACAGTTCCCGGGAGAGGAGACAGATTCTCTATGTTCTTCCTAACCTTCCCTTTCTGTTCTCAAAGAAACAAAACAGGGCCTCCCTGGTGGCGCAAGGGGTTAAGCACTGCATTGTGAGGCAATCTGTGGCCTCTGCAGCATGAGTTCGATCCCCAGCCGGCCAGAGAGAAACCCACATGGCGAGCAGACCTCTCCTGTCTTGCCCCTGCTCCCCTCAGCAGTGTATTTCAGTCAGTCTGCCTGTTCTGTTCCCTGCTCTGTCTCTGGTGAATCCTCTCACCCTCCCGCACATCTGGCCTGTATCCCAGTTCTTGTATAAATAAATAAACAAATCTTTTAAAAAAATCTTAAAAAAAAAGAGAAACAAAACAAAGCAAAACATCCACAAATAAGTGGAAGGAATGACACTAGGCTCTATATGACCCTAATCCAATGCCATCTGGCTTTAATATTATAAATAAGGTAGTAATCTATGCCATAAATGAGACAGACAGTGCCACGTGGCTTGTTATTCTAGGATGGATAATACCATGGTGAGCATTACTAACATATCTTTATCAACATTAGATGAAGAGTATTACTAAAATCTCGCCATCTGTTTTTTTCATTTCATGAATTTATCCTGTATATGTAAATCCTACACAGTATTAGCCCAAATCATATAGGATGTAAAACCTCTAATGATATTCAAGAAGTTGGCAATATTCTGAAAAGATTTGCCTAGTCTCATTGTTCTTTGATTAACTTCTTTCAACTTAGTCATTTCAAATTTTTATGTTTTACTTGGGGTGATTTGGGAATAATTAAGGCAAAGGATGTTAGCAAGCATTTACTAAGACCTTGAGGCCAAATTACAAGAACTACAGATTGGCCATCACTATATCTCCCTTAGGCCTCCCTCTCACAATGCTCTAACTTGTTCTAATCTGCATATAGTTTTTAAGGTTGTTTCCCCACAGATACACACCATGTTTTAACTTCAATTGGCATAAATACAGTTATATAGCCAGCACTTGTATTTGATTTCATAGCCACTAGTTTACCTACATAAATTTAATTACACTGGATTTAAGATGAAAGTATTTCTTATAGCCACAGCCTGTGATGAGCAAATGAATACCCAAATGGCAGCCCCGCCAGAGCATACCTCCTACCTCCTCCAATGTCCGGCAAGTCACCAGTCACCTTGAGACCGGACTCCAGAAAAGCTTAGGGTAAATTCACTGACAATGGGGAAAGATTTCTGGTGGGTGTGGCACTAGAAATTCCAAGGCATGGCTGGGTGCTGGGAAGATTACAGAGTCAAAGAACATTTTTAACTGTCCATGAAAAAGAAAAAGTAAAAAACTTACAAACCTTTCCTTTTGCAGTCCAGCGTTTGTATGGGAAACACATAATTGTGGCAAAGAGAAGAGTCCACCTCAGGCTTGATAATTGGGGGTCTCCCTGACAGTTGGGGTTTGGGGTCCAATTCTTCCTTTTCTTCTTCATCACATAACTGTTCAGGTTTTATCTGCCGCAGTTTTTTATCTTTTAGTTCTTGTGGGCTTTCACACTTGGCATAGTTCCCCAAATTTCGGTTTCTTGGAATGTGCAACATTGAAATAAGTGTTTCCATCTCACAAGTACAGTGCCAGGGGTTGTCATAAAGACGCAGGTAGTTCAGGATAGGTGTATAAATGAACACCTCTTCTGTCAAGATTTTGATCTGGTTGTGCTGCAGTAAAAGAGTGGTAAGTTTATTTAAACCAAAGAAGGCCTCATTCTCTATTTTGGAGATCTCATTCTGTTGCAGATCCAGGCTTTTCAGCTTTTTGAATGCGGAAAACATGTTGTTCTTTAATATACGGATCTTGTTTCTTGCTAATAGCATGTGCAGCAAATCTTGAGGCCAGTCAGGCAGCACATAAACTAGCTTTCTTTCTTGACAGTCTAAGTATTTCTCGTGAAGATACATGTACACTTCGCAAGGGAGGCCTGGTGCGTATCGTTTGACGGGGTTGGAGCCTCTGCGGCCCCCACTAGCCCGGCCATGATTTGCTCGGCTTCTGGAACCCCCAGGGCTTGCTTTGCGGAGCTCAGCGGCTTTACAAAAGAACAGCAGGATTATGATGGTAACCACACGCATCCTGACATCCAGCTGGCCCCAATTACTTGGTGTGACAGATGGAACAATAAAACTATTCCTTTGAAACCCAAGTTTGGGTAATTTTAACTAATGTAGTTCAGGAACAATGAGACCCAGCTGAGGTACGAGTAGTCCCTAGGTTGCAAGAGAAGAAAACATCAGAAGATAAGTTCAGGAGCACTGTGAATGCTGCATTTTTGACAAACAACAGCACCTTGTTACTTATTTTTAGTAAAGGCATTCCAATTAATAAAGGCACATACAGAACAGTGGTGTCGAGGGTCTCTCTTATTTGCCTGGTTTTGTGGCTAAGTGTTTGGGACTTGAGTTTGAATTAAGGCTCTCCTACTTGCTTTGCTGTGGGACCTTAGGTTTGTTATTGAACCTCATCTTCAGCATCTGTAAAACGGGGCAGTATGTAGTATTGTTGTGAGGATGAATTGGACTCGCGAGTATGAGACACTTCACAATGTCTGATCCAGAAATAGTCCACAGTGTTAGGGCATGATGAATCTGAATCTGTAGTTTATCATCACACAGGATTTAAGAAATTAAAGGAATTCTCCTTACAGAATTAAGATGTGCAAATAAGAATAGGCTTCCAATTGCTGTTTTTCTGAGTTTATTTTAACATTTTCATTACTGTCTGTCAATCACCAACTATGTTGAATGGGTTTTGGCAATGCTCAGAGTAAACTGCACTGTCTTTGTCATCTGCTGAAGTTCTTGGCTCAAATGTCACCTCAGTGAAACCTTCTCTGACTGATCTTTTAAAAATTGCACTCCATCCCACTCACCTGTCACTCTACCTGCTTTCTTGTTTCATTTTTTCCATAGTACTTGCCATAATCTGTCACAGTAGATACTTTCCTCCTTTTGTTTAGTGTCAGTCTCTCCCAACTGGGATGGAAACTCCATAAGCACACGAATTTTTGTCTACTCACTGCTGTATTTCCAGTACTTCAGTGTTTCTGGCATATGGCAAATTCTTGATAATTATTTGTTGACTGTTTTAATTACTCTCAGGCAGCCATTATATAAAAACATTTATCTCATAAACCTAATTGTAATATTATTTTGGGAATCTGTTTTTTCCTTAAGTGTTACTGGTGACTTCAAAGATCTACACATTTTGAAGAGTTGTTTTCATTTTTTAAATTGGTTTTGATTTGCATTTATTACTTAGGGCAGAGTCCATTCTTGGCAGAGGAAGAAATGTTCAAAATGTATTTATAATAACATTTCTATTGTTATTAGCATGGGGCTATTTGGTTATGAGTGGCAGATGTGTTTTCTATTCATTGTAGCTGTGGGAATTCAGTCCTGGAGTTCATCTACCTGCTTTATGGGATCCCCTGCATGAAAAATGCCTTTCCCCTTTTTTGCCTCAAGTCTTTCTCTCATTTGCTGGTTTGTATCCGCTGCCCAAGATGCCTCTCCTCTGTCACCTATACTTACTGTCCTTTTACTTACTGTCAGTACAGACCCAGAGTACTAATTGCATAAAACTGCTCACTAGCTATTTGTATACTTGTCTGTTCTTGCCTCCGAGCTCATTAAGTGTCCAGTTGCCTCTGTTCCCAGAATTAATCAAGCACTTGGCCTCTGACTCTCCATTTCTCTATTTGCAATTCATTATAAGTTGTATGTAAACCTAACATAAGAAATAAATATTTTGTTAATCATTATGAATACTGAATTACTTATGATATGCATACTGAAAGAGTGGATGGAAAGTGTGCTGATGTGTGCAATCGACCTTAAAGAGTATAAAAAAAATATGTACTGAGGGGTGTGCTTCGGTCCTTCTGCCTGCTCTGCTCCCTCTGGCTCTAGTGAATTCTCTCACGCGCTTCTGACTATACCCAGTGCATGTATAAACAAAAAAAACAAAGAAGGAAAGAAAGAAAAGAAAACATGCCTCTATATAAAATAAAAATAAAAAAAATACATATAAAAAAAATATGTACTGAGGGATAGAGAGAGGATGTACAAGTGGATAGGTGACAAAGCAAATGCAGTAAGATATAAACTGTAGGACCTAGGTGGTGAATGTATTAATGGTACACTTCCAAGCCAAAGCTAAGTACATGCTGTTTTTTCCAAAAGCAGTCTTTTTCTATCCCCCTCCCTTCTGTAATCCTCAAACAATAATAAACATGTGCATATATTTTAATTTTAAAGCCAAAAGAAATCCTTTTTCTGGGAAAAAGAAATCCTATTACTTAGAACAATTTACTTGCCAAGGTTTTTATTTGTTTCCTAATGAATACATCACATTCAATGTAGGATGGAAAACTTTAAGTTTAAACATTTGCAATATGTTGTTTAGTGATGTGTAACTTGTTTAATTTAGGCCTCTGTAAAAATCTGCAAGAGCTGAATGTCTCTGACTGCTCAACAGTCACAGTGAGTATAAGGAGCTTATTTTACTGTTGTTTATATAGATTCAGATGTGCTATACCAGAGTGCTAATATACAGAGGTTTTGCCAAAATACATGCCTGTGTGTTCATTTATGATTGAATGTGGAAAAGGCAAACTATGTTAAACACTGGCAAGAAATTTTATCCCATTTGTAAAATGTTATTATTAATCTTTTCAATATATACCCAAAGATAGAGTTTTTAGAAAATGGAAACTATTTAATATTTACACAAAAATGAACCATATTTATATTTAAGACCACGTGACTATGAGACAGAATAAGTAGACCCCAGTAGAGACAATAGGCTCACATTAGTGGATTTCATGGCCAACTAAGATGGAAGTGAACATGTAGTCCTGCTTTTTGAACCCTTTCCTCTCCCTCCAATATGTCTTACATTCTGTGAGCTCACAATTCTCTTTCTAAAAAGGCAGATCTGACCACTTTACTACCATTTTCCATCATGTACACACTCATCATCTACACTTGGATAAAGTCAAAGTGCTTCAGAATCACTTACGATACCTTGGACAACTGCTGGGGTCTTGCCTCTTCCTTCCTTTCCAGTCTTAACTTACTGCGATTCTTACCTACACATTCAGCCTCAGAAACACTAGCCACCGTGCTTTCTTTGGCACATGTTTCCCCTTGCTGCTTTGACCTTTGCTCAGGCTATGCTCTTGGAATGTCATTTCCCTTTACCTTCAGCTGCTGCTCTCCTCTTTGTTGGGCTTTAAGGCTTACTCTAGGCACCACCTCCTTAACAAGACACCACTGATTCCCAGCACTCGGTGCCCTGCTGCTCTTGGGGGTTCCTGTGATAAGTAGTTCTAACAACAGTGTTTCTGCTTCCTCCACTAAGGTATGAGGCCTGAAGGTCAGGAGATTTGTCTGTTTTTTTGTTTTTGTGGGAGTCATAGCATATAGCCAGGCCTTGACATAGTACATACTTTAAAACATTTGTTTAAGGGATGAAACTAGATGTAGATATCTGGTAGGTCATGAACAACAATGGTTAGAAAATAGAATTCCATCTTCGGTTGACATATATGTATAAGTCATAATTAACATTACCAAAGTAAGATCAACCTGGAATGAGAGAAAAGGTATGAGTAGAAGATTTAGGACAACTCATGGGGAATGCTAAATTCTAGATGCAGTTAGAGTAGAAGAAACAGCAAGATTTTAAGAAAGAATAACGAGAGAAGTAGGTTGAACAGAGAGAGAGGTATCAAAAGGCAACAGAGTGAAGAGTTTCAAAAGTGACCAAGGTGATCAGATAAGAAAAAACTGAGCAGTGTCTCCTGGATTTGAGAATTAGAGGGTAACTGGTGACTTTTGCTAGAACAGTTCAGTGATATATTGAGACAGAAAACTAATTGTAGTGAAATGTGTAGTGGACGAGAGGCAAGAAAATGAGATATAAGGAATAAGTTGATCTTTTCAGAAAGTGGCTAATGGGGAAGCAGAAGGAACAGAGAGGCAAGGAAAACTGCTTTATGTTTATAGGGCCGGTGAAGACTCATTTGAAGCAAATAATGAAGCAAGTCCCTGAGGAGGAGGAGGAGTGAATAGAATGAAGAGCCCTGGGTCTGCCATGTTCCTCATTAAGCAGCAGATTTAGGATGAAGTCCATACTGCCTGGCACAGGTTGAAAGACTTCATGAATTGGCTCCTCCTTGCTCCTCCCCAGTCTCATCATTATAGTTTTCTTTTAAATTTCTACTGTTTTCTGCAATGTTGAAAGTATATTTACCTTGATATATAAAGATATAAACAGAACTTACAAGTTATAAAATATAGGTGTTATAGGGAATTTAAAGTGAATCAAGTTTCACTTTCTGTCTTCATAGATTATCACTTCTGACATGAGTAAAAAAAATCATATTCTTTATACATTTTTTAAAATTTTATTTTATATATTTTTTACATTATATTACTCAGCAATCAAAAAAGATAAACTCATGAAATTTGCAGCAAACATAGATGGAGCTGGAAGGGATCATGCTCAGCGAAATAAGTCAGAAAGAAAAAGAAAAATACCTGATGGTCTCACTCATAGCAGGAATTTAGAAAACCTAAATAAGGGACCAGGAAAAATACTAATTATCATAAAGTAAAGATCAAAATCAACAAGCAACTATAAACCAGAGACACACTATGCGGCGGGGGGAGAAGGGAGTAGGCTCAAAACAAGCGGGGGTGGTGGGAATTGTATGGGGACTATAACCAAGATGAAAAGATCATATTCTTTAAATCTGGCTAATAGGAAAGTCAAAGCAGTGTTATCTGCACTGAATTTTTGAATATCAAAGTCTTTTCCAATTTGGAGTCTAATGCACAGAACTGATAATTTTATCCACATTTTACTATTTTTTCCCCCTTTGATACATAGAGTGGGAGACAGGTTTACATTTAAGGGGTCGAGTAATACTCATTCAAAAAAACTGATTTGTAAGAAACCTGTTTCACAAATATATTACATTCAGAAAGATTAGAGTGAACCATGAACAAATTGACATCATTCTGTAATGTACTCAGTTTTTACATTTAGTGTTCAAACATTTGGGAATAAAAGCATAAGTTCTTTCAAATACTGAGAATAGGATTTGTCTGGATTTGTTTGTATGTGCAAGCTCCTTCAGACAGGAAAATGAAGAGAAAGGTTTGACTCCTCATCTCAAGGAAAACCAGATTCCTCTCTGATGCATATTGTTCTCTTCTTGGCCTCCATATTTTCATTTTCTCTGTGTCTACCTCACCGATATGCCAACTTTCTATCCTCTTTTATACTTATATGCCAACTTTCTATCCTCTTCTTGCCTCACTTCATTTGCATTTTGCCAGCCTTCAAACAGGTGCATAATCACTTCAATATTTGATTTGGCACCATTAACATTTTGAAGATAGAATTTATATCAAACTGCAATGCCATACATTATGGTTGTTCTCTCCACTCCTGCTAAGAAAACTGTACTGTACTTTTAATGTACTCATGCAAATCCAAACACCACATTTGGGTAGCAGCTTAAATATGGTAGCAAGGGTGTTCATTGAAAATCCCTGCACTAGTCCTCATGTGCACTGGCACATAGAAACTTCCCCATAGCAGAATTATGGAGCTGTACAACTTCACAAGGAAACTTGTGTTCTCTTTGAGGTGTGGGTTGTTGCCCTTGTAAATGAACCAATTCCTATACCCTGTGACAGAAGCTCTGACTTGCAGGATTTTGTTATTTTAATATTCATGGCTCCAGGAAATAGCTAAAAATAGGATGGTAAACATTGCTGCTGCTGCTCTGCTGCAAATAAACCTTTGCCATCATTAATGATGAGGAGGTTAGCCAAACAGACTAAGCAGAATCCTTCCCCAGGCCACATCCCTTAGTCTAGTGACAATTTACATCTCCCTGTAATGGCCTATTCTTTCAGGACTGATGTACCATACGTATTTAAAACTAGATGACCTCTCCCTTTTTCCTGAGGAGACTCAGCACCATTAATCAATAAATAAAAAGTGCTAGGTTTTTAGGGCATTTCATATGTAGTTACTCACACAAGAAGCAGCTCCATTGCAACTAAAACTTGCAACTCATCTGGTCTTACAAATATAATTTAGGCTTGTGCTTAAAACCATTGTTTGTTTTTATGTTTCTCTCTTGTCACAATCAATCACACCATTCTCTTGTACCTTAGTTCCAGCTCTCTGGGGAAAGGTTGCTTGACTTTTTTAGATTATCCCCTACTCTATATCCAACAATGACTTATGTATAATATGTATGTAACCTATATTTTACTTCAAACTATTCTAAGCTTAACACAAATTTGGTGAAATTTTGTTATGCTATTTTAATATATTCAGTAACAGAACCACAGAAACTTATGCATGTCTGTCTGCCTCTATGATCTATAGATTATCTATCTATCTATCTATCTATCTATCTATCTATCTATCTATCTATCTATCTATCTATCTATCTATCTATCTATCTAAACAAACCCACTTTTAAAGAAGTCCATTTGAGCATTTACTGTTTCAGTATTTCAGAATGTTTAAAAATGGACCCATTTTTATTCATATGCCTGAAAAGTCAGGAGTATTTGACACTGGCACTTGAGCTCAAATTTCCTGTCACAAAATTGAAACTACAAGAGTGCAAATTTTAATGACACGCCATTGTGCTTGAATGGGGCTTTATTTCCAAAGGAAGGGAAAGGGAGAGTGTAATGATTAATTTGATTTATGCCAATATTAAAGAACAGGAAGAGACCAGGTCTTGCATATTTTTTTGGGAGCAGGGAGATAGATAAGGCACAGTACACACTACTGACACAATTATCTTCATTTTTATGAGGATGAATCAATGAGATACATCTCTGAGAGCTGTCCTGGAGTCCTGTATCTCAATCTATCTAACACCACTATCACCAACAGGACAATGAGACTCCTGCCAAGGTAACGCTTGTTGTTATTTGTATCACACCGAAAAGAGTTTTGATCTTTTTGGCTCTGGCTTGCTTTAGCATTCCCCAAAGGCAGTACACCGCCACCGTGTCACAGAACATGAGATCTCACCAAGATTATATGAAATTTACAATAAGAATGCTGTGCATTTTATTATTAATTTTAAGTTGTGTACTACACATCTTTTATACCTGTAAAATAGCAAATGCAGACTAGTAGGGTGTACAAATTTATGAATTTATATGCATACTAGTTCATTTATTTATTTTTTTGCATGCATTTCTTTATTTGCTTATTTAAAAGAGGCAAATCAGCCTTCTCCCAAATCCATCAAACTCCAGCCATATTAGAGTTCTAGCTCTCTCACCTTTCTTTCTGTGGTTACTAGAAATTGGGGCAAGAGGGTGAGGAGGAAGAAAGGAATAAACCAAAGTAACAGCACAGCATGCATACTATTTTAAGGAGCTAGTTGTTATATGTTTACCATTATGCCAATAATAAAAGATAAATAAAGAAATAATTTATATTTTCGCAATATTTAGTCTCCCTATTGGGAACACAGAATATTTCTGAAACTTTTTTTTTCAGACATTCTTAAATGTTAAAAATTTTGTTTTACTCTTATGGATAACTGTTGTGCAAGTTATTCCTAGATATTTTTTTATTGCCCCCATGAGAGGTATTCTTTTGATTATATTTTTTCATTGTATTTTCTAAAATGGCTTTTTTTGGACTTGGGTACAAGGTGTAAGTATCTTTTAAAATTTTTCATTTGGATGATTTAATTGATTTCTTTGTTTTTAAAATAAAAAAATGAGTGCTATGAAATTACTTCTATTATATAAGAATTAAGGCAAAGCTTATAAGATTTGGTAAGTATTGTTCTCATTTTCTAAAAAAAAAAAAACTTGTATATTTTACTTCCTCTTTGACCTAGTAACTATTTAGAAAGGAATTTTTTATTCCAAGTTGTTGAACTTTCTTTAATTAAGCTTATTTATTTTTTTTCTAGCTTTGTATACCATGGTCAAAAAATATGGACTGAATTATTTCTACTTTGGAATTTATTTAGAGGTTCTTGGTTGACTAGTTTATATAAATAATTTCAGCCAACTATCCATAAAGAGAATTTCTTTTGGAGAACAAAATTTTTGTGTATATGTATATGTACATGTACATATATGTATATATTATTTATGTGTTGCAGAATAATAGTGCTATATTAGTTGCCTATTTTAATCAAATTCATTTTTATATTCTTTTATAAATAAAATGTAATAAGTAGTATGTTTCATTACAGATTTTACCATTTCTTCATATAAAATACTCTTTATCCTGATTGATGTTTCTTTGCCTTTAAGTCTTTTTTACCTGCTATTAATACAGTCACCTTTGTTTTCTTTCACCAAGTGTTTTATAGAATTAGTTCAGGTGTTCTTGTATTTTTAACCTTTATGTCCCTGTATTTTAAGTTTATCTTTTATATGCAGCACATACTTAACTTTTTAAAAAATTTTACTTTTTGCCTTTTTTAAGAGGGTCATTTAAAAGACCGATAGTACTCATCAAAATTGAGTGTCTCAACATATTTCTACTATTTTATGTTCTTTAATTTTTATGTTCCAACACTATACTCATAGTTTCTGCATTTTGTTATATAAACTATGTTGTTTAATTTTATAATCTGAAAGTATTTGAAATGTATATGAACATTCTGCTTAGTTTCTAATTAGTGGTTCTGTAGGTTTTTTAAAAAACATGTTTTACTTATTTCTTTGGGTGTAGACTTCCACCATGACTGATTTTAATCAATAACATAATATCACTGAATCTGAAGTTGGGAAGAGAGGCTAATAATTGGTTTTCATAGGCTGGTGCAAGCCAGGTCCAGCGACACCACTGTGGTGAACCCATGACCCTTTCAGGAATTGTATAAGTTCTCTATTCATGCAACATAGAACATCACTCAATCCGTTTCTTTAGACATTCCATATTAAGATATATATACATATGAATATATGTGTGCACACATGTGTGTATACATAGAATATATGTGTGAGTATGTATGTGTGGTCTATATATGTGTTTACAGACATGTGTACATATACATGTATATATAAATCCATAAATCTATATGTGAAAATCTGAACTTATAGAGCAAATAATGTGGGAGAAGTATATATCACATTACAATTTTTTTAACTCAAAAAATTTTTTTCCATACTTTGAGATAACCTTTACTCCTAGAAGATTTAAAATAATACTACAGGTATTCATAATTTTAAAGGGCCATTTATTTTACAAATGAAGCTATATCTCTGGTGAGCAACACACAGAGAAGTAGGATACAAATGAGAATTTTGTTTTGCTTTTATTTCTAGTTCTTCTATTGAGAGAACATTTAGGATAGATATTATTTGATAATGATGCTTTTGGTGATATAAAATTGTGCCCCGACTTTCTAATCTATCATTAAAAATAAGCTTGATAATAATTCTCTATTTTTGCTCTGTTTTCCATTGTTTCTAACATGTTTGGGTATGTAAAAGCATTCTTTAAACTGTAAATAACCAGAGAAATGTTGGTTGTTACCACTGCCATTCTCTGTTTGCTGTCTTTAGCGATTCTTTCCAAAGAACTCATTTGCCAGAAGAAATATAATTTGTTTGCCCTTTTTGGCAACACTTACTTGCCAGCTTTTTATATGAATATTTTTTTTTTGTCATTGACTTTATTTTTTTTTTAAATAATAAATTTTATTGTTATATTTCCCATACAATTGCAGCCCCCCCATTCTGACCCCAATCCCTCCCCTCCCGCCCCCGCCCCCCTAAAAGTGTCTCTGGTTCATAGTTTTTTGTTGATTTTGATTTTCACTTTCTTATAGTTATTCATTTTCCTGGTCCCTTATTTAAGTTTTCTAGATTCCTGCTATGAGTGAGACCATCCGGTATTTTTCTTTTTCTTTTTGGCTTATTTTGCTGATATTTTCCCTCACATCTTTGGAGACTTAACCCGCTTTCAAAAGTTGAAAATGAGGGCCCCCTGCAGCTCATGCCTGTTCCAGGACATTTTTTGCTTCTAAATATATCCTGAATTAAATGCTTTCCATTTATTCCAACTGCTACAACCTAGGTGGCACTCTCAGACCTTCACTTGGCACAGCATCCTCATAGTTCAGCCTCAGGTCTCTCCTCCCTTCAATCTGCTGTCTTGTGCTGCAACAGTATTATCCTAGAGCAATGTTAAGGTCTAGATTATCCCTCAACTGTCTGCTAACATCATCTAATCGAAGTCATCTACCTAGGTTTCCCAACAGAAGCCCTTAACTCTGGTCATCTGATTGCTACAAGCTTCTCTTTCTCTATAGGTAGAATGCCTTTCTCTTTCTCTCTGCTAGTCCACAACGCTGTACCATCTATCAGAAGGCACACTCCTCTTCCTGAGTCCTAAAAGCAACATTCATTCACTTATTCACCATGTATTGATCAATTACTATGTGTGAGGTATTATGAGAATATATGGTGAGTAAAGCTTTTAGGATGGCTGCATGGTGTCAACTTATTTTTCATATAGGTGAATTCAACTTGCTTGGAAACTTCTATTGGGAGGCACTTTTATGTTACATTGTCTCACCAGTGCCTATCAGGGTGGACAGAGAGGAAGATCCCAAGGTCTGCCCTGTGAAAAGAGGCCAAATCATGGCATTTAGCTTTTTGACATTATGTGATGCAAATTGCCTGTGAAACTAAGGAGCCCAACACAACTTGAAAGAATCCACAAGCAAATCCTCTCTTTTACAACCTGGGCCTTGTCTTGGTAATTTTTAAGAGAAATTTTCATTTCAATATGTCATTCCAAATTCCTTCCAATAGTAACTCTCTAAAGATGTTAAAGTACTAGCACAAAAAGTCTGAATTTTTTAATGGAAAATAAAACTTGAGAGGAAGGAGAAAAAATTTATCTCTTTAGTTTCTACAGTTATGATTTCTCAAAGATTAAGGTAGCAGTAAATCACAAAGTCCCCCCTCCCTCTCCCAGCCAATAAGACACACTTAATTATCAAATAATTAGGAAAAGATATTCACAGGCAGCAAATACTACCTCAAAGTAGAGTTAGAATTAATTCTACAGTTGTCTATGGGTTGGGAAAATAATGAACTAGATCTTATTCATGTAAGGGAAACATTTCCTTGCCAAATTCAGAATAAAAAGCAGCAATATTACTTAAAAGTTGCCAAGTGCTATTTCACAGTCAACTGATACTTTCCCCATCCCAGCAGTTTTAAGTCTGCACACTGTAAATCCTTAGAAAGGCCCATAGGGCCACTTAAGATGCCTGTGCTTTGCTTTAAAACCAGTGCTTTCCATTAGGTTCCCTTTAAAGAGAGTCATCCTAGATTTTCAGTCCAGGAATCATTAATTATAATGAAAAACCTATTCTGCTAAACTTGAGATTATTAACCTGCGGCCAGCAGATCCCCCAAGGAGAATTGGGATGGAATTCAAGGGTTCCATGGGGGAAAATCTCTATTTTCTACTAAGCTCTTTTTGAAATGCAGATAAAAAAAAAGTCAGAGTAGATTAGCAGTCCCTGGGACTCTTTCACCCATGTAAATCACAAATATTTTCTTATTATAGTTATTACAAATATTTAGAAATATCACTGGCACTCATTACTACTTAAAATTATGATAGTGATTAGACCTACCACTACTTCTTGTTATTTTGTATATTAACAAGGAACATATATTATTATTCTACTTTTTTTGTGTTTTAAAAATATTTAGACAATTATATCCTTCAACATAATTGGCTGCCTTTGTAATCTTAAGCACTTCATGTTATGTAGTAAAAACACTATGCTAACAAAGGGTCCACAGATCCCTTGGTATCTACGATACAAAAAGTTAAGAATGCCTATCTCAGTTTCCCCTTTTTGGTATCTGTTAATTGACCATGGGGACTTAAATGGTACATTAGGCTTGGACTTGATTTGAACCAAATTCATTATTATAGTCAAATAAAGACTGATATAAAGAGCTTAGAAACAGGTTATGAAGAACAGTCTGCAAATGAGTGGGGAACACATGAACGGAATAACAGCTACATCAGAGCCTATCCATCTAGCTGAGTTGAAACAGGTTACATATGGCATTACCACCAAATGAGGGTATAGATGAAATGTGAGGTACCCAAAACTCTTGTAATTGGTTGTATGTGCCACTTTTGTTAGATGAATATCCATTTCATTAAAATAAAGTAGTACGTATTTCATAAGAATCATTAATATGCTACTATTAGAGGATGTAGTAGTAATAATTATATATACATTTTATACATTTAAATTTTCTACCATATCTCTGCTGATTTTAATCATCAAAAATCACCCTCAATATAATGCTATTACATCTGTGTTCTCTTCTGTCACATTTCTTAGAGGAAAGAGCTGATAGGATTACATCCAAGTTACAGATAAGAAAACTGAGGTGTGGGAAAACTGGAGGTCCCACAGTTGGTCAGAATTAAAAAAAAATAAAGAAAATGTTATAATCTACACTTGAAAGATGCAGAAACAATCTCTGAGATGTTAAGGAAGTTGCATTAAGGGTCAGAGTTGGGAGTGGAATAGAATTTGGTCAGACTCCAAAGCCTTTTTTTTTCCACATTGTGTTGTGCTGTTTGCTTCAGAACTCCTTTACCCCAAATTGAAAGCTAAAGGACTGTCAGGAAGCATCAAAACAGGAAAGGAAAGAGCATAAAAGACTATGGTGACAGTTCAGAAGTGTCTTGGTAGTGGAAATTTTATGGGGATTACACCTGAGAGGAGAATAAACAATGATGTAAAAATATGTAAATTAAAAATAAAAAATAAAGGACTGTCAGACACAACAGCACCCCTTTCTGCCCCCAGAAATTATAAAATTCTACTTAAGTCAACTGAATCACAAGAGTACACTCTAGGGACAGGGAGAGAAAGCTTTTCCAAAACTCTGACATAGTTCTTAATTCAAGGGTCCCAGGAGAGGGGACTAGTCTTTGAGGTGTTAGGGATGCTGCTTTCTCCTTCATGGCTCTGCCCACCCAGCCACTGCAGAATCCAGAACACTTCCCTCTCTGTTCTGCTGAATCTCACAGACACAGCCTTACCAGAGGGAAATGTGTATTTTAAAACAAATAATTCACTACAGACTGGGACTCATAAAAAAAAGGGGGGGAGGTTTCAAATTTTAGGAATAAATCTGATTAGTGGTCACCCTTTGCATAACATTTTTCATTTATGTGGAGGTAAGCTTCATTAGTCATTTGTGGGCTTTTGAGAGACACAGAGGCATTTTCTTCCCACTTCTTGTTGTTTTTGCTTTCTAATTTGCTGTTAAACTGTTGCAGATCACAAACCAAAAGCTGGCAGTGGTGGAAGTTCTTGCACTTGAAAAACAAACAAACAAACACACACCAAACTGAGGAGTGTGTACTCAAACTGGGAGCCCTTGTTTGGTAGACTGCCTCGTCCTAATTACCCTCTTTTTTCCCCCTGGAAATGCTCATTTTGGTCATTGTGGTAATGCCATATATACTTTGTTTTAAGTCAACGGGATGGATAGCCTCTGATGTAGTTTTTATTCCCCACTCATTTGCATACTGTTCTTAGCCCATTTTAAATTCTCTTGATATATTAGTCTTTATAAAATGAAACTGTTGCTTACAAAATCATGCACATCTAAGTCTATTTTTTTCAAAGCATTTGTTTATGATGTTTATTTTAAGAGCCTATGTTCAATTTCACCTCCTTTTGCGTCAAATCCTTACTCTTTGTAACAGTTAACTGCCATTTAAATGTTTACAATGGTTTTGTTCTTCTAGACATGTCGCACATTAATTGGGGGCTCCGGGTTAAAACTTAACTGCAAGAATGCAAACTCTTTACTTTGGTTTCAAACACAAACTAACTCCCAGACCATATGAATACACAAAGCTTTATCCCCTACCCCCAATCAGCTTTCTTAAAAATCTAGGCAAAGCTTTAATTATTTTCATTTGAAATGCCACTCTGTGTTATCTGATATATTGCTTTAATCTTAAGAGAAAGAAAATTAACAAGTTCAACTGGTGAATATCTGCAAGATTGAGTTCCAGCTTTACTTCTCTTTGTCAGAAAGATTTGAGAAAACAACTAAAGTATAATCAATTTTCTTCCCCTTTTCTCTTGCCCTGTCTTTTCAGGCACTTCTGCAACTTACAGAATCTTAGTTTGGCTTATTGCAAAAAGTTCACAGACAAAGGTTTACAGTACCTGAATTTAGCGAATGGATGCCACAAGCTCATCTATCTGGACCTTTCTGGCTGCACCCAGGTTTGTCTTCCAGTCTCTCCTTCCTGCAGCAGGCAAGGAAGTCCTCCGGAAAACTGGCTACATCCAGTCCTCATGTTATACTAACGCTGTGCACGAACCGCAGCACACACATTTCAGAGGTTTTAAATTACATGGCCACAGCTGTTTAAGTTTTCCCCAGGATTGCTACTATAGGCTCTTGGCCTCCTTCCACTGCAGTGTCACATCCACAAACACGCAGAGCCCATTGGATGATGAAACCGACCACTTCTGTGTAGAGACTCTGAGCACAATTATAATACCAGAGTCCAAATCTTGAAAACTTTAGAATTGCTACCAAGATACAAACAAAGGAAAACCTTTCTGGAGGGAGAATTTGCCAGGAACTTCTTAAAAAGCCAATTAACTCCCACATGGATTTTCAAAGAGTAAACAGTATTGGGTAAAATGCTACAACTGGTAAATGTAAGGAAACAACAACAAAGATTTTAATTTTAAAAATTGCGCTCTATTTTTGGGCTAAATAACATGAAGATTTGGGATAATCATGAGGAAATATTTAAGTTTGAGGGAACAAGATTGAGGAAAAGAAGGTAGAGATATGGAGGACAGGGCACAGCACTTTGGAAATAGTTACTGATTCACTGATAGTTTCTTTAGTACTGCTTTGGTAGATTTAAGTTGTAATTATTTTAACTTCCTTTGTTTCACCTCTCTGAGTATTTTACTGAGCATGTTCCTCATTCAATGAGAGTATACGTAATAGCACAGATGAGAACTGCTGAATTACTTATAGTTACCATTTATTTAGTTACTAAATGCCAGGCATCTTGTTGAGTGCTTTATAATGATCCAACTTACTCCTCATCCCAAAACTTATGGTGTGTATTTATTATGCCCAATTAGTGACAGAGTGCAGGGTTGTGCTCTGGTGAAAGAACATGGTACTAGTTCAGTTATAAGCATTTGTTGCTAGACACATGGGTATGTAGTTTGCCCTGGAGGGAATACAGGTGCAGCATGGGTTTCCTCCAACAAACAGAATTCTTACTTAGCCACCTCCACTTAGCCACATGGTTTCCTGGTGTACTGGGCAGTGAAGATGATGTAGTAGAAGGAGGGGAAGATTGTACGCCAGGGCTAAATGTCTAGAATTTACATTTGTTTATAATGTACTGATATGTAGCTTGCCAAACATCAATATTTATCATTTACTCTATGATCAAGATGGCCTAGTATTCCCTCCATCTTGACTAATCTTAGACAACCTTTTTCCTGATCTCCCTCCATTTATAGCACTTACTTTAGAAAGCTTCCAACTGTATCCTCTTTCCCTGATCCCTTTGACATGTAAATATCTTTAAAATTTTTTTATTAATTTGAAGTTATGTTTATTAATGTTGACTTAAAACACTGTATATGTGACAGGGGTATAGGTTCACACCTATGCCAAAGAGGACAACCTCGAACAGGGAGAGGTTATAGGTAAATTGTTGAACAGGGTTTTCACTTAGACACATGAATAATTTCCTTTCTGACCTAACTAAAGGTTGTTTATGTTGGATTTCTGTCCCTGAAACTGAAAGAAACTAACTAGTACAACCCTATTACAGTACAACTGGTGAGGGTATGATTCCTACCTAGCTTTTTTTTTTTTAAGATTTATTTATTTATACAAGAACCGGGGTACAGGCCAAATGTGCGGGAGGGTGAGAGGATTCACCAGAGACAGAGTGGGGAACAGAACAGGCAGACTGACGAAATACACTGCTGAGGGGAGCAGCCGGCAAGACAGGAGAGGTCTGCTGTGCCACGTGGGATTCTCGCCAGCTGGCTGGGATAGAACCGGCACTGCAGAGGTTGTGACAGCTTCACAGTGCAGTGCTCAAACGCCTGCGCCACCAGGGAGGCCCCTACCTAGCTTTTACTTGGGGTAACAAAGAATACTGGTAAGGCTTTATGGAGAATCTTACTCAGAAAAAAAACATTAAGATCCAGTGAGAAAATTGTAAAGGTTTTTCATAACTGTTCATATGCTTGTATTTTACCATGTACCTAAATTTGTTTCTTTGAGCATTCTTGTGACTGACCACAGAGCAGTCCTTAGCATCACCAAGGCCAGATTAAATCTGCTTTCCACTTTGCTAACACACAGTGGGACCCAGTGATCAAAGGTACTTCCCATTTGGGATGGTAAGAATTTTTGTCAAAGTATAATACACATACAGAAAAACGTACAAAGTGCCATGAGTATTTAAGTATGTGTGTTTTGGTGAACACTGCATGTATTTGTGTTGAGACTATACATAGTCTCAACTATACATAGGTGTCAAATAGCTGGGTCAGCTATGTGTATGTTTGACTTTTATTGGTAGCTTTCCAAATTGGTTGAGTCAATCCTAATGATATTGTTATTATTTAAAAACTCATAGATACAATTTCTGTGGAAAAGTTAGAGCTCCCCCATATTTACTCCTTACATTTATTTTCATAGAATTGTCATTATTAAAGTGTACTACAAAAGAGTTAAGGGAACAATATTCAAACCTAGAGTGGGTTTCTGTGCTCATAAATGCTCTTCCTTTCTCAGAAATTAGCTGTAAATATGTCCATTATTCTTAGAAAATAAGCAAGTAAAATAAAAACTCCATCCCTATGAAACTAAACAAATTCTTATCATACAGCTAGTAATCATGCTCCTTTGTATTTACCCAAACGAATTGAAAACATATATATACACAAAATCCTACACACAGATGTTGATAATAGATTTATTCATAATTGCCAAAACCTAGAAGCAAGAAGATGTCTCTCAGTAGGTGAGTGGATAAACTGTTTGTGGATACAAAGTAATATTATTCACCACTAAAAAAGTTAGTAATAAGTACTGAAGTCAACTTACATTCACTTCCACAGCCAGTAGGTTTCATTAAACTCCTCTTTTCAAACATTTTTATCCAGCTTTCAGAATTTTTCTGTTGGTTAAAAGAAATTAAGAGATTTAGACATGTATTTTCTCCACATTGTGCAGGGCAGAAAAAATACTCAAAGGTAGGAATATAACCAGGGATTCCTATTTTATTTCATATTAGGTTTAATTTATCTTACTTATTTTGGAATTCAAGTACCAAGAACATATTTATTCACATTCTTCAGTTTGTGATACACTTTTATTTCATCAGTTCATGCAAATCTACTCTCTTGTTCGAATTATCCTTTTCAGGCACATTTCCCACTCCCATTCCCCTCTCCCTACATAAGCATTCCCCTCTCCCTCTAGTTTGTCTTCCATGGCTCCTTAATCTCTGTGAATTCTTACATTTTTACATGGTGTCTCTGTGTATGTGTGTGTATTTTAATTCTCATAAATGATATCATCTAGAGATCTTGCTGTTTGCTGTTCTTACTTCTGACAATATTTCAAATGGTACTTCTCTAAGTCATCTCCTCTTCTCTCCGACCCTTTAATCATAAAGGGTCCTTGATCCACTTCCTTTTCAGTCTAACCTATTCCTAGAGAGAGAGAGAGAGAGAGAGAGAGAGAGAGAGAGAGAGAGAGAGCATATGCATAAGGGAGGGTATAGATGTCTAGTATGTGTATACTACTAGGAGATATGTGTATATAGAAGTAATATACACACATATGATATATATCCCTATAACCCAGATTTCTCTCAAATTTTAGATTCTTGAAAATTGAATCGTGTCCCTCCAAAATTCCTATGTTGAAATCTAAACCCTAACACCTCAAAATATGACCTTATTTGGAAATAGAGTTGTTACAGATGCAATTAGTTAAGATGAGATCATTTGAGTGGGCCTTAATCCAATATAACTGATGCCTTATTAAAAGGGGAAATTTGGATGCAGACACATGCATACAGGAGGGCACCATGTGAACATGAAGACAGCCATGCACAAGCCAGGGAGTAAGGTCTGCAACATATCCTTCCCTCACAGTCTGCGGAGGGAACCAACACTGCTGACACCTTCATCTTGGACTTGTAGCCTCCAGAACTGTGAAACAAAAAAGTTCTGTTGCTTATGTGAATCAGATTGCAGTACTTTGTTACAGCAGACCCAGAAATTTTATATCTTATCCTTCTCTCTCTCACTCACTCCCACATGCAAGGTGTCAGGAAGTCCAGTTGACTATTCCTTCAGAATCTATCTGGGATGTGACTACTCCTCACCACATCCACAGATACCACCCCCATCCATGTCACCATCACCTCTTGCCTGGATTACTGTGATAGTCTAACTGATCTCCTTGTTTTCTACTCATGACTTCTATAAGCCTACTCTCAACACAACCGCTGGAGGGGAAGAAAAGAGCTGAGAAAACTAGGTGAAAGTTTTACTTTTCAGTTTTACCCACAAGTCAACAAGAAAAAAAAAGAAGAAAAGGCACAGTGTCCAGAAGTATTCAAATGTTTGTAATACTCACAATGATAATGATTTATCAGTAGTTCATGAATTGCTAAACCTCTTTGGGACCCATTAAACTTAAAAGTAGGCTGTGCAAACTGCAAACTGGAAGATTCTAAGGTCATGTAAGTCTCTCTAGACTACATAAATTCCAGTCTCCCCTTTTAGAGAGACAAAGATCATGGAAGGTCTTACTTGTTCACCCTTGAGGCTTGTGGTGGAGGTGGAGAAAGCCACAGAGGCATGTACAGAACGAATATACTAGTCAAATGGAATGAAGATTGCATAAGCAAAGCAAGAGGGAAAGTGATAGTCTCTCTTTTTTTCCTCTCTCTCTCAGCAGAAGGCAATAGGGTGGTGAAAGAAGCCCAGAACTGGTGCTATGAGACCTGGGATCCAGTTCTTGCTACACCACTAATCACTTGTGCATCCTAGATAGTTGGCTATTCTATCTCTGTTCCCTTATCTTTAGAAGAGTTAGGTTGGACTAGGTGATCTCTGAGATCTTGTTCAGATTTAGGATTTTATGCTTCTGTATGATAACTAAACAAGATAACAAAGGAGCAAGATTAGGGAAAAGGATTCATGTATTTTATTTTGGAAATGTTGAATTTGAGGTTCCTGTGATACATCTGGGTATCAATGGTAACTGCTTGAAAGTGGAAGTCAGTCCCCCGAGTAGAAGTGAGAGTGGAGATACAGATTTGGCAGTTTATCAATAAGAGGTAATTGGAACAATAAAAGGTTTGTGACCAGCTAAACCACTTGTGAATAAACAGATTATGTATCAAAATGAATTTGTAACAGTTAAATAAAAATTATAATTAATTTTTTTTTGTTTGATTC